TTAAATAATGAATACCTTCTTTAATATCAGAAAATCTTATTTTATTTATAAATTATATAGAGTATTGATAAATATTATTACTGGTAATTGTCATCTTACCAGAATTAAGATAGAATTTTGGGCAGAATTAAAAATGTTATGAAACTCTGCCCATTAATATTTTCTAATACTGATGTGGTGAAAATTACCTGTGGTGAGATTTAGCAATACCCAAAAATATATAATAAAATTAAATAATATTAGCATTTTAGTTAATTTTAAATAAAATTTTATAACTTAAATTTTATTAAAAATTATATATAAAAATCAAAATATTGCATTTTTTTATAAAAGTAATAATTTAGATAATTTTTTTTTTCATAAAATTACATATAAAATATTAAAAATTTTTTAGATTTATAACAATTACTGTTGGTAATATTTAGCAATTTCTTTAAAATAATATTATAAAATAAAAAACAAAAAATACAATTTTTAAAAAAAGGAATTTTAATATTAAAGTTTGTTTTTATAAATTATTTATTTTATAATATTAATAATTTTAATTATATTTTATATAAAACAAATACTTTAGTATAATGTAATCTTAAAAATAAAATAATAAATATTACTTTTTTAAATTAAGGGATATTTATAAAGTTTTATATCTATAAATGGGATTTTCAGATTATATATTTTTTAAATTAATTTATTTTTATTTTGTTTTTGTTTTTTGTTTGAAATATTTAATTTTAAGACAGTATATAATTCATTAATATTCTGATATTAATATTTAAAAAAAACTTTTGTTTATTATGATAATTGTAAATAAACCAAAAATTTAATTAATAAAATATTTTGAAGTTTTTTTATGAAATACTTTTATTATGCTGAATATACTGAATATACTGATGAATAAATCTATTGATTTATTTCCATTTGCTAAGTAAATAAAAATCAATATATAAAATATTTAAGTGATTCAAATGATATTTTTAACAATTTATTTGTGTTAAACCAACATTTTAAATCTATTTTTATTACAAAGTTTTTGATTTAATGATCAATGGTAAGGAATAAAATTGTTCAATATATTGGAATTATTATCTAATAATAGTGATATATTTTTAGGATTAAAATAATCTATAGATAATTTTTTAATAATCAAAAAAAAAACAACTTTTTTTATTCATTGGGATTAGGATCAGTAAGTAAAACAAGACACTAATTAAATGAAAAAAAATCATAAAATATTTGCATGCTGATAGTTGCAAGTTTATATTTTCAAAAATTTGGACGTGCTTTCGACTAATTATAGAAATATAACAATCTATAATTTTTGAATAAAAATGCCCGAAACGTATATTCATATGATAATCAAAATCACATGAAACATGTGAAATCTTTTATATCTTAATGCTAGCCAACAAATTATATACATAAATTTGGTCTGTTCATTTTATTTTCAGTGTTTCGAGCTGAAAATAAATATTTAACGTGATGACAATGAAGTTGTATTACATAGAATACATACAATCATGCAGCAACATACATAAAACTTAATAAGAAAAATTTGTGATACTTAATTATGTATAAATCGGAATAACCTATACAACTTTTTTTAAGAAAATTTTTTTTTAAATGTTACGCAAAATACAAAAATATAAAAATAAAAATAAATGTGATATAATTAAAATTTGAGGACAAGTTTTAAATAATTATATCAAATTGTTATACTATTTGTTATTAATAAATTTCTAATAATTAAATTTAAATTAATAATTAATTACAAGACGAAATAGAAAAAAGAGAAAAAATTTGTGATATTTTTAGTATTTTGTAATTAATTGTATGATGTTCATTACTAGTATATTACTGTGTAATATAGTGAAATCGTATTTAATAAAATCACGAATCGGAGATAATTAAATCTTATTCTAAACGGAAATTAAGCGGAACTATCGGATGAATATTTTGTCATACGTTATAAACAAGCTTATTATCTTATTGGGTTTCTTTAAATTTCAGCGACAATCTTTTAGGAATGAAAAGTTATTAAGATCCACGCAGGGAAAAACTTTATAGAATTTCTAAACCTAAAAAAAATTATTTTTCAAGTTAAATATTTTTTTTTTTTTTTTTTTAATTAAAAAATTAGAAATTTAATGTATAGAGTTTATCTATCTGTCTGTGAGCTTAATCATAGATTAAATGTAAGGGGCCCTAATTTTGACATATCCCCAGTCATTTTTATGTAAAGAATCATGATATTGTACATATTAAAGATCACCTTTTGGCATAAAATAAAGACAATGGCGGATTTTAATTTGTTCTAAAAAGATAACTAACTGCGCCAATTTTTCCGATGGCTGATTGCCCAAGGTATAAAACCGTTCTAATTATCACCAAAAAAAAAAAAATTCATGTAAGCTAAAAAAAAAAATAAAATAAATAATTAACGCCAAAACATTCATGTTGTATTTCGCAACACAACAAACCAAATGTATAACCTGATTAAAAAAAAAAATCAGCCAAGAACACAATTCATTTTATTAATCAGATAAATTTTGTGCTAACGTAATGAACGGCAAGTTGCAGAAAAATCAGCATCAAAAAATGCACAGGTACGTGTTTATAATTCACAGACATAATTTTTAAAATATCCTGATATTTTTATATACTGTAAATATATATGTAAATATTTAAATATATACGTAATATACTATATATTATATAATGAATGACGTTTTAAACTTTGTTTTAATAAGTATAATTTAAGCGAAAATATAAAAAAAAAATTATTCTTTAGATTAATAGTGATAACGTGTGATGCTCGTGTGATGCTCAGACAGAAAAGCCTCTTTAACTCTGCTGCATTTGCAGTTAATAAAGCTAATAATTATCGATATTATCAATATTGTTCATATAACTGCTAGTTCATGTCGTACGCATGCAACTAAGTAAAATGCACAAGTGACACTTAAAGGTAATATAACTTTTTCCCATTTTCGCAATAATTCGTTTCTCACCCCATGTGCAATTATTGACAACACATTCAACCTGAGTATGTACCTGTTGATGCCGAACACGAAAAGTCTGAGACATTTAATGTCTGTGTACCATATATGATTCAATTGTACATGTTACACTGGAATTGGGAACTAATATCATATATGACTCTTCCCGCGGTTATCCCGAGTGATTCCATTGCAACGTCATTCGATCTCAAATTTTCGGAAGCATGCTGTGTTAAAAATTACTATAAAAGTGAAACAAATGATACTAAAAATTTTTGGATATCTTAGATCACGGTTTTTTAAAAGTTGTCACTTTGGTCTAGAATTAGTTAACTAAATTTGGCGAAATGAGGGATTATGGCAAAATGAGGGATTAAATTCTTAGACTTCTGGTGTAGAGAAATTTTTTTTTTTTTTTTTTTCCTCGTTTTCCTCGCTTTCCTTGCTTTTTCCGCAGAGTCAAATGTTTATCGTTTTTTTTTTGTTTGTATTAAATTGATTGGTGTTGATTTTTAGCACATGTTTTTATAATTATCATTCCTCTCATCAATGATTTTCATCCCTTTTTTCCAATATCGAACGATTACCCATTATTGAAAATTGAGCAACCTTTTTTTTTATTTTAATGAAGTATACTGATAAGCAGTGTTAATTAGCATATATTTAAGCAATTATCATGTGCATACGATCTTATTCTCAGTTTCAAATTTGGATCCCACAAAAAAATTCTTAAAATCTACATTTTGGGTTACGGTAAATGCTTCTTGACAATCTTATCGGTTAAAATTTACAATTATTTGGTAAGCAAAAAAATATCAAACCTTTTTTTTTTTTAGATGACAAATGATCTCATTGCCGCTTCTTTGGCAAATTTTCTCTCTCTCTGTCTATTTTTATCACCTTTATTTTCTCTCTCTCTTTATACATTATATACTTATACACATACATACACACACATACACACATATATATTATTTATAATATCCTCTTCTATAAAACTGGGTTGACTTATTAAAATTTGATTGACAAACTTGAAAGATCCATACATAATAATACCTAATAAGGTCTATAAAATTATAAAACTGTATGTGGAAGTAAAAAAATTAACCGCTGCGTAGCTGCGGGTTAAGTGGGGTGAGGGGGAAAATTTTTTTGAAGTGACTATTGCGAACAAGATATACAAATGTTTGGATAAATATTTATATTTGTGCATCAATAAAAAAAAATGTGAAATGATTATTAGAGGTTCCTTTGAAATATATATGTTGTTTCAATAATTCAATTTCAGTTTTATTAACATATTTCAATGTGGGTAACTCAAAATAACATAAATAAATAAATAAATAAATTATATATATGTATTTTATGTATATTTAACAATACACTTAACCTTATTCGACTTCTTAATTCTAATTTCACACACTTGCCGTAACCTACTTGATTTGGTCCAATCATCGCGCAATCTTACATCGCACCATCTTGCTACTCCACCAAACATCCATCCCCTTTTCTCTGCTCCCTATTTTATTATATATTACCCCACTATTTTTCTTGCCCATTCTCCCTTTTCTTTTTCTTCTTCACCCATAAAAAAAAAACCCTTTCCAATCACTTAACACTTAATAGACTTTTATATATATATTTCATACATATATTCGTTCTTTGCTCTGAGAGCAATCAACGCTAAAATATTATAAACTTTTCGACATCTTTTTCGTCTTTTATAGCAAAAAATATACACAATGAACACAAATACTACAGACCAAGAATACTTTAAACAAGAAGCCGTTTCTATGTGGCCCTCACCTTCCACGCCTTCAGACATATCTTCTCCATCAAACTCTGCTTCTCCCAACCATGACTATAATGTTTATCACGTGCCAAGAGGTTTTGATGTAGTCTTGGTTCCGTTAAAAGTTGAAGAACAAACATATCCTGATAACGCATGTTCAGAATCATCCATCGATTCTCCTTTAGAACCAACTTCAAGTTCTGCTACTAAACCAATGGATATTCCAAAGAGTAAAACTCCTAGTTCCACTGACGCGAAAGCTTCCTCAACCACAGCCACTACAACCACGCGTCTCTCCGCTTATCGAAAACGTAAAGCTGATAAAAATTATATTCCACGTCCTAAAAATTGTTTCATGGCCTATCGTGAACATATAAAAGAAAAGTTCTTATCAGAAAATCCTGGTATGAACAATAAGGTTGTATCAGTTCTTGCAGCAAATATGTGGAATAATGAACCAGAGGATGTAAAAGAATTATGGAGAGAACGCGCTAAGCAATTAAAACTCGAACATAAACTCAAATATCCTGATTATAAATTCAAACCACAAAAGAAGAAGCAAAACTTGAAAACTCCTGGCAGCACAAAAACTTCGTCAAAAACCACCAATGCCCGTAACAATAAGAAGTCAAATTCTGACTCAAAAATCATTTTTACTGATTCAGGTTATGGTTCTGAAATATTGGGCGATAGTGATGACGGAAAACATATCTACCATCACCCAATAGGTTTGGAAGGTAATGATGAACAAGAGGAGATTTATTTAACTCATATACAAAAAAAGGCTCTTTTCGGACATTATCGTGCCTCTTCCGTAGATTCAGTTAGTTCTTGGACAAGTGACTCCACAGCTTCTACCCCATTACTTTCACCTTTTGCACGTTCACCTGCTTCTTTATCCCCACCAACTTTTCAATTCGGTAGCCAATTCGGAAGGTCATCTTCAGCTTTGAGATATGAAGCTGCCCATAATCATAATGAAGGTCATAATAATTTATTGTTGTCTCATGAGTTGACTTCTCAAACGATGTTCAATGAAGTTGAGCATCTCAATAATTTATATTCAAGTCAATTGGATATAAACGCTTCCTTACCCGTTGATGATGGGTTTGTTCTTGACTCTTATGAGGCTCCAATGTTAAAAGCGAACTCTACCGTCCCTTCTTTTTTAGATTCTCAACCAACCTCAACTGATTATGATTTAATGGCAATGGGTCATTTCACAACTTCTCCCACTGAAGAACAAGGAGGATTTTTCCATGATTATGATAATACCGAATCTGCTTATCATAATCACGTATATAATTCTTCTTTTGAACTTTCTTCTTCGCAAGAAGGTCAATCGACCTTGGCCGAACATTACGCGTTAGTCCTTGAAACTCCACGTCGTAATTCTCAGCAACTTTTGGCCGACTTCCAACACGGTCTTAAGCAACAAGAAATGTTGTTACAAGGGTTATAATTTTTTTTATGGATACGTGCGAGTACTTGTTCAATTTGTAGTAATTATATTTTTTTTTGTGTTTTATTGTTAAAAATTTGCTTTGAGTTTTCTAAGACTGAGTCTGGTATTGCTCTTTTGTGAATTAAAATAAAGATAATATGAATGGACGATTTTGTGCGGGCCGAAATATTTTCGGTCTTGACCTTTAAATAAGGTCTAGGACACTTATAGCTTTCCTTTAGCTTTTTTTTTTTCCCTTGTATTATTTAAACATTTTTTTTTTCCAACTTTTTTCTCCCTACCCAATATATATATTCTCGCTTCATTGTGTTTATAAATCAACATTTTCTTTTTATATATATATATACATAGAACAACTTGCATTTATTTTTCTATAGACTTAAATACCATAGAGTTTGAGATTCAAATGAAGAGAAATTATCAATCGGAAATGTCCGATCATTTCTGCGTTGGTATTTTACTATTCTTTTGTTCTTGGACAACATAGACTGCCAACTTTGTAAATTTTTCCTCCCCTTTTCCTTTTTTTTTTTTTTTTTTTTTTTTTTAAATATAGACTGGCAGAAAGCAAACGTTTATCGATGGTTCGCTGTCAATACGTTTGTTGTATATTTTTTTCTCTTACATATATATATATTTTTTTTTTTTCCTCATTCTTCTCCTCACTCCTCAATCCCCCGGTCTTTATTTTCCTCCTCTATTGCATTTTTACCATTATAAACGAAAATTTTCCTAAAAAAAAAAAATTTATTGATATATTATCATTATCCTATTTTATATCTCCATTTTATTACGACATAAACCTTTTCCATATCCTTCTTATCTTACAAAAAATTTAAAAAAGACAAAAAAAAAAAGTTATATTCTTATCCACCATCCATATTTCCCTTTATCCCAAATTACATATATAAGGTTTTTTTTTATCTCTCGTATTTCTTTTAACTGGTACTTAACTCCTAAGAGTTCAAATGATCTATCAAATGATCGAAAACTAAGTTACTTTTTTTCATTCATTCCTCTAGTTCTTCTGGTGTGTTAATAGGAAAGAATTGGTTGTCTTTTAAATTATTCTTAGTTTTCTATACAAAAAAAAATATTGGTCTCTAAAATGGTTAAATTTTTTAAATTAACTTCTCTGTAATTTTTTTTTTAACTTGAATCTTGTCTGTGATTATATTTTATATTTTTTTCGGCTGAGATTCGTTTTCTTTGTTTATATTTTTTTTTTTGTTTTCTTGTTTCTGTTTTTTTATGGGTTTTTTTTGGTCCTAGCTTTTAAAGGGTTTTTACAGAAAAACAAACATTTTAAATTCTTTTTTTTTTCTTTCGAGTATTTTTTTTTTCAAATTTTTTTTAAAAAAAAAAGAAGTCAAAAATAAATAAAAAAAAATATATCAGGTTTTGCGGGAAAAAGATTATATCTTTTTTCCTTTCTATAAATATTAAATGTACTTTATTGTTTGTTTTGGCGTATTATGATGTGTTTATATTTGGAAAAATGCGGGGTAAAGAAAAAGAATAGAAATATCGCGTGAAAAGAAAGTTTTGGCGCGATTATGTGATGGTAGATCGAAAAATAAATCTTTTTTGTAATGCAATGCATCATTAAAGATTCTTTTTTGGTATTTTTTTGATTTTCCGTCTCAGAGAACAAACCTCGTGGGGATGATTAATTAATTTTTTTTTTTCGCGCGGAAAATTCGCGGAAAAATTACGGTTCTTGATTGTCATTGTTAATCTTTCATCTTACCAAAAAATCTAAGAATTTCTCTTTTCGAGTTTATTGAAAATAATTTTTTTTTTTAATTTAAAATAATTAATATTAATTCGCCATTATTCTTTATTTTTTTATTCTCAATTGAGAACCAAGAAAAATTATTTTCTTTATTTTTTTAAAAAAGGTTGATTGAGAACAGGATCTACAGGCAGGCGAGTGAAATGTGGCTCACTTGAATTGTGGCTCAAATTATTTAGAAGTGACAGTGATAATTAGTACGTGATTTGATGATACTGTACCTGGAAGAAGAAATTGTATTTAAGATCAATTTATTAATTTTATTGAATAATGATTGAACGCAATCAATGTTTTAATCTATTTTTTTGCTAAGTTATTTTGCATATTTGCAATTCTACAGTATATCTTATATTGATACATATATATATATATTACGCCTTTGAATTTTGTTAAGTATGAATTGCTCATAATTTTGTGCTAAAATTTATGCTAAAAATTTATCGATTAGATTTAGACGATTAGAGTGCGGGGAAAGAGATCGAGGATTTAAAATTCATATTATATTTAATTATTATGAAAGAAAATTTTTTAATCAAGTAATTAACTCAATTATGAGCTATTTATTTACACAAATTATCTTTGAATAAGACGAAAAAAATAAACAGATAAGTTCATATATAAAAAGTTTATAAAAGATAAAAGATATAAAAATTAGTGGGTTGATGATGAATTTAAGAAGAGGCGGCCTTCCTTCTTCCAGTTGTTCTCTTTTCACTTGCTTTTTTGGATGTAGAAGAAGCTCTGGTCTTCTTGGTGGAGGTTGATGCCTTCTTTTGTTTAGCAGGTGCTTTTTTAGTTGTGGTAGCTGCCGGCTTCCTGGTTGGTGCTTTTCTAGTGGTTGTTTTCTGTAATTAAATATTAAAAATATTTAGTCGTAATCTAGATCAAAAAATCAAAAACTGTATTAACAATAAAATAATAAACGTACTTTTTCAGCTTTTGGCTTAACCTCCTTCTTTTCAGCTTTCTTAGGCTTTTCCTTTTTCTCAACTTCTTTCTTTTCTTTCTTGGCTGCTTCCTTTTTCACGAGTTTAAGAGTTCCACTGGGACCTGAAGTGTGTAACAAACAGTAGTTAGAAAATAGTACAAAAAAATTTATTTTTCATAAACGGTTGCTTTCAAATTATGTCGAAGATAATATATATTTTAGTGCTTGTTTGATCTTTCACGATTTTAGGAGGAGTATTTACCGTTAACGAAGGAAAAAGTTCCTTTATCGACGCCCTTAGTAATGGCCAACTTGAGACGGTTGTTTGTGACGGCATTGTCGGGAAGTTTATATGTATTTAAGATATATTTCTTAATAGCTTGACGACTAATAATCGATAAATACGAAAATTTGTTAGTAAAAGAAAAAAAAGAAAGACGCGTCACCAATAAGGACTTTTAAGCGAAACGGCAATTTTAGTACTATTTCTTTACCTGCTTCCTTTACGTTCTTTCAAAGCGACAATAGCATCTACAGATTTAACAATGTGAGAAATTAATAAATTGAAAGAATAGTATAACTATAAATGTAATAGAAGCCTTTTATTTTTCTTTTGTTATTGCCAAGAGAAAGCGTATTTTAAGCTTTTAAATTTTTTTTAAATTTAATAAAAAAGTTTCCGTAAGCTCACCTCGAATCATATCCTCGTATTTGGGATGAGAAGGAGGGCTGGCTTGCTTCTTTGACTTAGCTGGACTGCCTCTTGCCATTGTTTTTTATTAAAGCTTTTCGTTTAAAAAGTGGTTGGGGGAAATGTACAATATTTAATTAGAGAGAAAAGGTATTTTTTTTTTTTTTTTAAAAGAAATTTTCTTGAGTTGTGGGAACTGAGAGTGCTTTATAAGTGCGTGATTGTGGTTATTGGGCGTATACAATGCTTATATAGAAACAATTGTAGTACGATCAGGCCAAATTTGTCAGTTTGTTATGATAGTACGTGTCACATCGCGCCTCAATCATCACATCGCGTCGAATGTTATTCGTAAACACGTACCTCAAGATCACGAAGATCACGAGTTTTTGTTTTTTTTTTTTTAAAGAACCGCTATTAAATACTAATTTAGTTTAGCATTATTAGAATTATTATTATGATTCGCGCTTTCAATTTCGCGAAGTTTTTTGTCACAAATAAATAATCCACGTGACGCTTGCTTGTGATGATTCTTTATATACATAATATTACTCACTATTGTATTGTTCGATAACCAAAAAATTCTGGATAAGCTATCAAAAATCCTGCGATCACCAAGACAAGATCAAGATCAAGATACTTAAATTAAATTAATTAAATATAATTAGTAACGTTCATATGCTCATTCTGAATCATTCACCCTAATAAACAAACAATATGATTTTTCTCATTTCTAATATTACGTACTCACTAAAATGTACTCGCAATACAAACGCAATTATTTCGTTTCATTACTTACCATAATAATATACCGATATTCAAAATATTCAAAAAAGTATTAGTAATTAATGCAAACTGGTTTATAATTCAGGGGCGTGGGCGGGGCACAAAAATTTAGTATCATATCCTGTCAGTTTACCGGAAATTTCGTTTCGGAAAAAATTTTGATATGAACCAATTTAAGTTTAGTTTGTAAAGCAAAGTATACAACCAATTCCCAGGAATTAATTGATCGTCATACAGATGCTAACTAAAAATAGCAAATTAATTTCGGGAACCTCTTAAAGTAGACATTTATCATATACCATTTTAAATACGTAAGAGTAGGGGCATTTAACGTTCCCCCAGAAATGGGAAATAAATTGAGTTTATTTCTTTGATTCATTCAGATTTTGTTCTCAACATAATGTTAAATGATGTCAAAAATGTGATGACAAATTAAACTTTTTTTATTGAGATATATAAACATTGGCTAAATATATATTAAAGTTAGTAAGTAAAAGTTTTGAAGCCCAACTCATACGGCAATCTCATTAAATTATATTTATATATATATATTTTTTAGGTTTTCTGTTGAACATTCATTAAAATGCAAACAGAAATAGAGACGTTTTCCGAGTTGCAAAAAAAAAGAGGGAAATATGAAAATGTATAATAAAAAAAAAAGACGACGAATACAAATTATCACCTTTGGACCAGAAGGCTTAAATTGTTGAGCTAAAAATTTCTCTGGTTCTAAATAAAATGAAATAATAATAATAATAATAATAAAAAAATACATTAAGAAAAAAGGTTATTATCTATCAACATCTACGTACATCATCCATTCTTTCTGAGGAAATGATAGTGCAAGTTACTTATTATAATATAATATATATATATGAGTGGAAAGGTCTTCTTTTAAATTTTTGGGTATAATATAGTATATTTTTATTAATTTTTTACATGACCACACAACAACAACTACCATCATTAGTTGTTCCATCAGTATATTCGTTACTTCCTAGCCCATTTGTAGGTCGGCTCCCATACGATTGTTCTTTATTGTATCGTCGAATTTCACGAACGAGATTATAAAAGGCTTCATCTACATTAACGCGTTGTTTGGCGGATGTTTCAATGAATCGACAATTAAATTGTTTTGCGAGTTCCCGACCCTCTGTTTAAAACATAACAAAATTAACATCAATCTTAAAAAAAAAATTAATTATAAATCAATATTACAAACCATGTCCTGAAACTTGTCTCTCCATTTCTAAATCACATTTATTTGCGACAACAATGATAGGGAAATAATCCTTGTCCTTTACCCGAAGAATTTGTTGATGAAAAGTTGAGATTTCTTCAAATGAATTACGAGAAACAATTGAATATACGAGAAGGAAACCTTCGCCAGTGCGCATATATTGTTCACGCATCGCACTATAAATTATTAATAAATAGTAAATGTAATTATAAATATTTTCCTGCAAAAAAAGCAAATTGACATTTACATACCTATATTCTTCTTGTCCTGCAGTATCCAATACATCCAATAAAGCAACCTCATCATCAATCACACATTGTTTACGATACGAGTCTATATTTTAAATATGCAAATATTTGTTAGCATTCAAGATTAAAAATTTGTGGCGCAACTGCACAAAATGTTCTATGCAAAAGAAATAACTTCTACAACTCTAAGTAGTCAGGATTTGCTATGCTTTTAAATATGCCTAACCCTTTTCTTATATTTAACTATCCAGTAACTGACAGTTATTAATGCCATATTAATGCGTTTATACTAATTATTAGAACAATACCTTCAATGGTAGGATCATATTCGTCAACAAAGTGTGACTGAATGAATTGGATTGTTAAGGCAGATTTACCTACACCTTTGTAATAAGAGTAAAGAAAAAAAAAGTGTTTAGTTGAAGCAAGTAATGATATAGTAAATAGCATAATTGAAGATAAGAATATATATGAAAAAATCAAGATGTTATATATAGAGCGAAGGAATGCACCAACTTGGAAGAGGAAGGGTAATCGCTCTTCATCTGGCAAGCTAGTGTAACTTTCTCGTCAGATTTGAACAATCAACTACTATAAAGAAATAAATGGTATAGAAAGTTGGGGATCTTGAATAACGTACCACCGCCGCCCACGACTACAAGCTTATATTCTCTTAAAAACGCAGCCTTGGACATTTTAACTTATATGCACTTTATTTTTTTTTTATATTAGGTACAGACAAAAGATAGGAAAGGATTATTAACCCTTAAAAAAAATTTTTAATAAAGTCGGAGGTAGTGAAAGGAAAATGTTAAAGAAAGAATGTGAGCGATGAAGAGGGGGACAAGTTTAATAGGATATTTGAATTGCGCAAGTTCTTAGCTCAAGTTTTTGGGGGTGGGCATTCAAACAAACAAGGCTGTGGGAGAAAGTGAGATTGCTATTAAATCACGTTATACGTAGCTACTGCGTCCAGGATTTAAAATTTCCGAAAAAAAAGATCTTCAGGCCCGATGATTTATTAATAGTCTGTTAAAAAATATTTCGCCACACAAATATTTAATATACAATTCAAATTATGCTAAAAGGTCGAAAATTCATCAAAATTCAATATATAGTAAAATCACTTAGTAAAGCGAAACGACAAATAAATTAATTCATTCTTCGGATTTTATAAAAAATGAGAATCATTTACGCAAAATAAAGTAAATTCATCATTTTATCTTCTTTGCTTCAGTTATAAAATTGTACAAATAGCAATAGTACAATCTCTTTCGTACAAGTTTGCAACGATTTCGTCGACGAAACTTGATACAAGACAATAGGATAGGGTAGCATTTCCGCTACAAACGTAGAAAGGTAATTAATTTATAATAATAGCTGTTAATATACCCATACAATATATTTTCTAATCAGTAAAGTACAATCATAATGAAACTCAAATCTTTTTAATAATATTACACTGTATCGCAACATATAATGAGAAAACGTTCAATTTTTATAAAAATTTAGATTATCTGAAAGTAAATTGCTTGTATATCTGTTTATTTATAGTCGAACCACTATGAAGTATGAAATGGAAACATTTTATTCCCAGACCGGTACTCCAGAAACAACTTTTTTTGGTTCAATTATCTGACCAATTAATGCTTGAGATAACAAATCATGTTCCTCTTGAATATGTTGCTTTTTGTTACCGGTAGCAGGAGATGCTGAAGGTAAACGGGTTGCAGGTTTAGCAGTTTTACCTACATAACAATTAATTATAAATTAATTATTATCAATAAAAAATTAACTAAATTACGTGTCCGTACAATTACATACCTTCATGACGTTTTGAATGGTTCATTAAAGTTCGAATTCTTGGTGCAACATAGGTCCATGCACCTCCATTCAATGGTTCTTCCTGTGCCCATATAAGTTCAGCATTTGGATATTTATCAATATGTTGAGATAACAAATCGTATGGAAAAGGGCATATTTGTTCTAATCTAGAAATGGCAACATGTTCCATTTTATTCTGTTCACGAGCTCTAAGTAGGGCATAGTAAACTTGTCCAGAACATAAAATATGCCGTGTTATTTTTTCAGGTGATGCTAATGTTTCAGGATGTGGATCTGGTATATAACGTTTAAATGTTGTGTCCCCAGTCATTTCAGCAAGAGAAGAACGTGCCATTGGATGTCGAAGAAGTCTCTTTGACGTTAATGCAATAAGCTAAATTTTTTATTATTATTTTTTTTTTTTTAAAATTAATTTTCTTTTTAATTTTAATTTTTAAAACTTACTGGTTTCCTAAAATCACGTTGAATTTGTCTTCTTAAAACATGTAAATATTTTGCAGGAGTTGTTTCATTTATTATTTGCATATTACATTCCTGTTGTTGTCGTGCCATTTTTTCTGGTGGTGGTTAAACATATGGATGATCATTACATAATTGGAGGAAACGTTCCAATCGTCCACTAGAATGTTCAGGTCCTTGACCATCATAACCATGTGGTAATAAAACAACCAATCCAGTACGTTGTATCCTTTTTTTTTCACCTGAAGCTATGAATTGGTCAATTATACATTGAGAATTATTGCCAAAGTCTCCAAATTGTCCTTCCCACAAAATTAGAGAATTAGGGTTTACTAGAGAATATCCATATTCAAAACCAAGATTTCCAAATTCCGATAGAGAAGAATTACAAACTGAAAATTTAGCTTGATTAGGTCTTAAATCGTTTAATGGTACATATTGTGTTTCATTTACTTGATCATGAAGTACTGCATGTCGTTGTGAAAAAGTTCCTCGCTCAACGTCTTGACCTGATAAACGAACATGTTTACCTTCAAGAAGTAATGAACCAATTGCAAGTCCCTCGGCAGTGGGCCAGTCAATTCCTTGTCCTTCGTTGATAGCTTTAGCACGAGCCTTAAGAATTCTAACTAAACCCGAATGTACATTAAAACCTTTTGGATATGAACTAATAACCTCACCAACATGTTGAAGGAGCTCGTAAGATGAACCAGTTGGATATGCTGGTGTAATTTCTTCGGCAAGCTCCTTTGGTGATTTAAAACCTTAATAAAAAAAAATTAGCTGTGAATTTTTGGAATAAGAGTAGCTCGATTAAAGTGATAGTAATTATTGTTCTTACCATTCCAAGAACTAGATAACCACTCACGACTTGTTGGTACATAATCTTTGCTTTTTTGATAGTTTTCTTCTAATATATTCCAAACCCGTTTCTTATGCTTTTCAATGTCCTCCTTAGTAAAAGTGCCATCTTTCAATAACTTTTGTACATATTTTTCAAGAATTGGTGTTTGTTTAGCTATTTGTTGGTACATTCTAGGTTGAGTAAAACTGGGTTGATCAACTTCATTATGACCATATTTGCGGTAGCAAACAATATCAACGACAACATCTTTTTTAAATGTCTGTCTCCATTCAGCGGCGAGTTGGCACACAAAATTTACTGCTTCTACGTCATCACCATTAACATGAAAGATAGGAGCATTTACTACCTTAGCCACGTCTGAGCAGTATGGAGTTGAATGAGCAAATCGAGGGTCTGTAGTGAAACCAATTTGGTTGTTGACAATTAAATGAACAGTACCACCCGTAGTATAATTTGGCAGATCATGGAAACCCATTGTTTCATACACGACACCTTGAGCTGCAAAAGCAGCATCACCATGTAATAATAAAGCCATTGAACGATGATGTTCCTTTTCATCATTTGCATAGTGTTGAAGCGCACGAGTTTTGCCAAGTACAACAGGATCGACTGCTTCCAAATGTGCTGGATTTGCAGCTAAAGAAAGATGTACATGCTTGCCAGAAGGCGTAGGTCGGTCATAATTCATACCCAAATGATATTTCACATCACCAGTCCCTTCATCTGATGGCTCTATTCCACTGAATTCATTGAAAATGGACTCATTTGGTTTACGGACTACATTACTCAAGACATTAAGACGTCCACGATGAGCCATCCCAAGTACAAGTGACTCTATGCCAAGATCAACAGACCGATCAATCTAATAAATAATTTATAATTGAGTGAATTTTGTAAATTTGATATTTATTAAAAAAAATTTCTTGCACTTTTATCATACCAAAGCTTTCATTCCTGGTATCTCTCACAGCCTTCCAAACCGAATCTCCTCTCATTTGGATACTTTGTGGAAACAAACCGTTCAAACGAATCGGACCATATTAATCGATCTAAAATCGTGCGTTTCTCTTCTAATGTGTAATCGTATTGCTTTGGAATTTCTATTTTAGAACAAATCCAATCATACTGTACTCGATCAGAAATATGAGTATATTCAATACCAATAGTGCTACCTATATAATAATAAATGTTTTAATAATTGATCCAAATTAATAAGTGTCATTTTTTAAATTTCTTACAATATATTGTTTTGCATGTATCCACTATTTCTCTAAGTGTCTTTTTTTTTTCAGTCTCAGCGAATGCCGGCAATATACCAGGACCAAGTGAGAATTTCTCATCTAAATCTTTTTCTGTGAAACCATAATATCTCGGATCAAGTTCTTTTGGAATGGTATCACTTAAATCTGGATCCAATTTTGCAATATGATGACCGCGAACTTGATATGCTCTTACCAATAATTGAACTTTCATATGATCATCATATTGACTCGTGCTCGGTGATAAAGAAGTAGTCAACCCGGTCAAAGGAACGATTGTTGGTGAGGGCCGATAAGTTTTCATATTAGATTCCATATTCTTAAAATATATCTGCCATGACAAGTGAACTGAAGAAGGATCTCTTAACCATGCTTCATATATTCCTTCAATATAATTTGTCGCATTTCTTTGAGAAAAACCATTTTGAGAAACTGAGTCTTGAGGTTGTGAAGAGTTTACGGCAGTAGCTTTATTACGAATAGCACCAAGAGAATGAATAATCAGATAACGTGATTTTATAGAGAAAGTATCTCGATACAACACTGCATTTGAATTTAAATAACTGATATGCCGTAAAGTACGAGACCAAATGGTCAAATACATTTCGACATTTTTATTGACGATTAAAATCGATATTTCGTTTTTTATTGCCAAGAAGTATTGTAAATGGAATCATTTCAAAATAATGATATCATGAAAGAAAGGAACAGAATTAACGTTTCTTGTCGATCATTATTTATTAAATAAACAATTGTAATATTACTTTATCTTCCTTATCTTTATGTTTTACCACGCTATCATTCCTATAATTGTTTTTATGTCGGTTTTGCTTTTTACGTAATTTTCTTTTTTCTTTTTTAGATAAAGATTGATTTTTCAATATTGGATCCGAGTCTAAAGCTTTCTGACTTCGTTTTTTTGATACCATTTCAGATTGCTTGTTTTGAAATGAATCTAAAGACTTATCAATTGTCTTTTGAGAAGGATGTTTAACAGGCGAATTCTCTTCTGTATCTAATAAATAGTGTATTTAATTTCACAGCATATTCGTTAAGATTAATGTGAATAGAAATTAAACTAACCTTCACCAGTCTTATTGTTAATCGAGCTTTTTTGTGAGCTTCCAATTGATTCAATATCTTTTTTTGAATTGAACCCATCGTCATTGATGGAGCTTTTCTGTGAACTTTGGATTGATTCATTTGTAACTTCGTCAACAGACTTTTTTGAATTAGATCCGTCATGATCTGATTCGTTCGAGATTTCAGAAATAGTTTTTTTTGAATTGGATCCGTCATGATCTGAATCGTTTGTGACCTCGGATATAGTTTTTTTTGAATTGGATTCATCATCATTAATAGAACTCTTCAGTGAACTTTCAATTGATTCGTTTATGACTTCGTCGGCAAACTTTTTTGAATTGGATCCAACATCATCAATGAAGCTTTTTTGTGAACCATCGAGTAATTCATTTATAACTTCGTTGTGATCAAATTGTAATCTCTTCATCATTTCTCGAATTTTTGTCAAATTCCTCTCTCCAGTAGAGTCCATGATCCATTTTTCGATAGAATCATTTGCAGTATTTATTGGCTAAGCGAAGAAATTATTCGATAAGAGAACATAACCTAGAACTCAATAATCCAAAAATAAAAGGTAAATTTTACCTCAGATATTATTTCCGGGTCACCCTCATGCGGTCCTTGAATGTTCCTTACCGAACTATAATGTTCCCAGTTATGATAACTAAATAAATATGATTAGAATTCTGAATTTCGTTAAAATATAAATAAATATTATCCCAGAAAAATATAATTTCTTTAACCTATAAAATACAGTAATTACTGTAATTACTTACATGATATGTAAGGTTCTCCTCGTCCTAATTTCGTTTGTAGATCTATCATCTTTCGTGTTATCATTTTCCTTTCCCTCAATAACATAGATTGTTCCAGGTTGATATACTTTTATATCAACCTCGTGAAGTTGTGCAAATGCTACCAATTCCATGTTTCCGCCATACGTACCAACTTTTCTCATCTGCGACAAATGGTAATCAAAAGTTTTATCATCCTCTACGAAGTATTGGAAATGATCGCGATTCCTTTCTAAATAATCGCATACTTCTTTACGAATCTTTGAATGTTGCTTTGTATTTCCATAAAATTGATCTGATAAAGACCTTTTAAAGAAAAATTTTTTAATATTAAATATTACTATTTTAAGAACTAATCCGGCACTATCTCAAAAATTGATTTGGGGACAAGTTATTATTACAAAGAATCTAAAACGAAACATAGTAAAAAATTATAAAGTTATAGGATGCTTTTTGAACTTGTAAGAAAATTTGTCTCTTATATTTTGTGTACTTATTGCTATGAATTTATTTTATTACGTACCTCGCTAATATCTATACAATAGTTACAGACTCAATTAATCAAATCTATATATCCTAGTGATAGTGCCAGTTCTCACTTAAAATGGTTATAACATTGAAAAATACCTGAACAAACAATTTCCATCCCCGTCAATTTCTTTACAATATAAACCCATTTTTTTTAATTGTTGATCTAATTCCTGTTGTGCTCGAGTCCATTCGTCAGCAGACAGATCGTTCTGCAAAGTAAGAAATAACTAAGATATATGGAAATAAACAGTGTTTTTATATTATCTTGACAAACAATACCATTTTTGTCCTATTTTTTCGCCCATGCTGAAATTGTTTTAAAAACGAGGCGTTAATGTTATCAGAAAACTGAAAGTATATTTAATATAAACAACAGATCAAAGGTACATGTTGAAACTTAGGTTTATGTTGTTTATGTGGTCTATGTGAACGATTTCTTTTCTTTCCCATGATTTCAGAAAGTCTATAAAGATAAAAGATGCACCGAACAAAGTTAAAAAAGGTACGTTACACAACTAAAATTTTTTTATCGCATCTGAATATCGCCATTTTTCATAATACTTATAATACCACGCCACTTTTTATAATACTCCTGGAAGTCAAATGTGTCGACAGATTTCTGTTCAGTTCTTATACATTCCGTGAGAAAATGCAACGCATTATAACTTTTGGTATGTTGAAATGGACAAGCAAGCATGTTCAGCGAAAGGTAAATACATATTTAATACTAAACGTACTGGCAAGTTAATCACTTCTAAGAAGAATTTAAAAAATTTTAGTCATTTTCCTCAATTAAACGAACAAAAGTACCTTTAAATGAAGAATGGAATAAATACGCGACGAAGGAATTGAAAGGGAAGGATCCCGTAAAAGAGTTGACTTGGCATACTGCGGAGGTTAGTTCTTTCTCCAGTAGCTTTAAAGGGTTAAACATATTTTTATGTCCCGAAAACTTTTTAGGGTTTAGACGTGAAACCGGTATATACCAAAGCTGATACTGAAAATATTCCAGACGAGATTCCTGGCAAGTTTCCTTTTACAAGAGGTCCCTACGCGTCAATGTATACCGCAAGACCTTGGACAATTCGACAGGTCGGAAAGAATGTCACATAAGTACCATTATTTTTGGTGGTTAACTAATTAATTTGATTCTTACATAGTATGCAGGATTCAGTACTGTGGAAGAATCGAACGCGTTTTATCGTAAAAATTTGGCTGCTGGTCAACAAGGTTTATCAGTTGCTTTCGATTTGGCTACACATCGCGGGTATTATATTGTCATGTTTCACAGTTAGAGTATGCAGTTAGTTTTAGCTGATTAAAATATCAGTTGTGATATTTGTGATTAGTTACGATTCTGATCACCCTCGAGTGATAGGAGATGTCGGAATGGCTGGCGTAGCAATTGATTCAGTGGAAGATATGAAGGTATAGAAACGAATGCATTAAAATATATATTTACTATTTACAGTCAGAACTCGACATAACGAACCCTCCGGTTCACTGAACCAAAATCGCTGTATCGAAATTTATAAGTTTGGTATAACGAATTTAATATGTTTATATATAAAGATAAAAATCTATATCGCATAGTCGTTATATCAAGTTCTGACTGTAGTCGTATGATATTATTTCCTCCAACATATTCATTATATCATAAAAAAATTTAAATATATAATAGATTCTTTTTAATGGAATCCCGCTTAACAAGATGTCTGTTTCAATGACAATGAACGGAGCTGTGTTGCCAATTCTTTCCATGTACATCGTCGCAGGATTAGAACAAGGAGCTCAATTAAAAGAATTATCTGGAACAATCCAAAACGATATTCTAAAAGAGTTTATGGTCCGTAATACTTTCATCTACCCACCTGAGCCTTCTATGAAGATTATAGGGGACATTTTTGCTTTCACTGCGAAGGTTAGTTAAGTGATGTAGGATCTTATTATGAAACATTTGATGATTGAATCATGTAATTTCATTAATGATAGCATATGCCAAAATATAATTCAATTTCAATATCTGGTTATCACATGCAAGAAGCTGGTGCTGATGCCGTGCTTGAATTGGCTTTTACTGTTGCAGATGGATTAGAATATGTGAGAACAGGTATATAGTATGCAGTTATGATTTACACGAATTGATTATTAATACATTCTATGTTTGATTACTTCATAGGAATCAAATCTGGTATGACAGTAGATGATTTTGCACCGCGGCTGTCGTTCTTTTGGGGAATCGGAATGAATTTTTACATGGTACAATGTACTATGAATGTTTTTCTCCCATCTCGTATGGTTTGTTAATTTAACAAAAATAAGTGAATTAATAGGAAATCGCGAAAATGCGGGCAGCTCGCCGTTTATGGGCTTGTATGATCCAAGAAAATTTTCATCCAAAAAGTCAAAAATCAATGATGTTACGTACACATTGTCAAACTTCTGGTTGGTCACTTACAGAACAGGTGCATGTTCTATCAGAAATAATCAATTTTTGAATACTGCTTGCTGTAAAATATGGGCTGATTATAGCGGCAACAATTAATAAAATAGGATCCTTATAACAATATTGTAAGGACAACAATTGAAGCGATGGCTGCTGTTCTAGGAGGAACTCAGTCCTTACATACCAACTCATTCGATGAGGCAATCGGGTTACCTACAGAATTTTCTGCTCGTATTGCTCGAAATACACAATTGATTCTCCAAGAAGAAGCTTTTATTCCGAAAGTTGCTGACCCATGGGGTGGAAGTTATATGATGGAAAGCCTAACGGACGGGATTTATGAGGCCGCTAGAGAGATTGTCGAAGAAATTGAAAATATGGGAGGTATGGCGTACGCCGTTGCGAGTGGTATGCCCAAATTAAGAATTGAAGAGAGCGCCGCCCGGAGACAAGCTAGAATCGATTCTGGTCAAGGTTGAACTTCTTTTTTAATTATTTTTGAAGTTTAGCTCTATTAAATTTATTAACTAATTCCTATCACAGAAACTATTGTTGGGGTAAATAAATACCGTCTTGAGAAAGAATCAGAAATTGATGTCTTTACTATTGATAACACGAAAGTACGACAAGAACAAATTGATCGGATAAATAAAGCAAAAGCCAATAGAGACGATAAACGGGTTAGTAGAATAATACATAACTTAAATTAAATGTATAATAATACGAATTAATATTAGGTACAAGATGCATTAAACGCGTTAGAAGAATGTGCAACATCTGGACAAGGCAATTTACTTGAATTATCCATAGAGGTATGCAAACTAAGATTTGTTTTAATATACGCGTAATATTTTTCTAGTATATTTATTTTATTATAAGGCTTCCAAGGCTCGTTGTACCGTTGGTGAGATCTCAAACGCTTTGGAAAAAGTATGGGGACGACATGAGCCGTCAAGTCGTGTAGCTAGTGGTGCGTACAAATCGGCTTACGGATCTGAAGTAGAAGTCGATGAGACAATAAAACTTGTTGAAGTAAGTGTTCGGTGCTATTATTTATTTTATCAGGTATCAGTGATATTTATTAACTGCTATGATTATCAAAAACAAAGGCGACAAGATCAAAATTAGGTGTAAATCCTAGAATATTGGTTGCTAAATGTGGTCAAGATGGACATGATCGAGGTGCTAAAGTAATTGCCTCCGCCTTCAGCGATTTTGGTTTTGACGTCGACTTGTCTCCTTTATTCAGTACACCAGAAGAAGTTGCACGTCAAGCAATCGACAATGACGTACATGTAATTGGTGTATCTTCGCAGGCTGCTGGTCACAAAACACTAGTTCCGGCGCTTATCAATGAGCTCAAAAGGCTTGGTGCAAGTGACAAAATTGTAGTTGTAGGAGGTGTAATACCACATAAAGACTATCAATTTTTGAAAGATGCTGGCGTGAGCGCAATATTTGGTCCTGGAACAAAAATTCCCGGGGCAGCCAAGGAAGTTGTGTTAAAAATACAAGAAACAATTAAAGATTAACTATGTATTTATCAAAAATATTGTTCTAATTTATAAAATTTGAAATGCATTATTTATTCTATCAAATATTTCTAGAAAATGTGAGTACATAACAGCAAAGACTATATTGTATTCTAAGAAACAAACATGTCTATACATTTTAAGAATTTAATGTAATAAACTATCATATTTGCTAATATTGTAAAGTTTTCTCGTAATTTGCTACTAAATTGAAATTGTAACGTGCTATCGAAGTCAAATAATATTTATTAATTCTCATCAATTGACTATCATAGATCACGATGCACAAATTCCTGAGCTCCCTTTACCAATTTCTCTCCGGCTACTCTTAACTCTTCATTGCCCTTTTCCACGTCAATGTTAATGGAAACATACAGCCAATATAAAATAATGGCTGTTGCAATATATATTCCAAATCTTATCATTCCAACAACTGTTCCAAGTAACCAACGAACAATCATGCTAACGATGGAAAAAAGAACATAAAGCAACAAGAAAATGACGAAAAGGGTACCATAATCGGACGTTGTTAATGTTTCCAAGTAAGATTTGAAAGCTTCATGAATTTGTGCAGTGTTTTCAGGAAGTAATTCGCTTGTTTGTATTAATAGATTTTGAAACATTTCGAGTGTTTCAACTGACGTACTGATATTAAACATTTTGATTTTTCCAATTGTAATCTTTTTTGTAAAGGTTTTGTTTAGTTTATATGCATTTATCAGTGTCGTCACCTGATTCTCTACCATATATGGTTAGTTTTAAATTTCAGTTAAAATCTGGGTTTTGGGAAATATCTAATTTAGTCTCATTTACGTTCAAAAATGTTATCTTCGGCGATTTGGTCTCGTGCATTACGACCTACCCGTTCTCTTTTACATACAAAAGCGATAAAGCTGCGGGCCACTTCCTCTATAAAATTAGGTTACCCCGTTGTTCCATCTCTTGGTGCTATTCGTAACAAAGTCACCGCTGTAAACTCTTCATATCCTCAAGCTTCAGTATCTCCCAATGACGTTTTTCTTCAAGGGAACGCTGCAAGTTATATTGAAGAAATGTATGAAGCTTGGCTGAAAGATCCCTCTTCAGTTCACTTGTCATGGCAGGTATATTTTAAGAATATACAGTCTGGTGTGAACCCTAGAGTGGCTTATCAACCTCCACCGACAATTGTTCCTCTAACTGGGATGCCTGTACCCTTAGATGTTTCCGGCTCATATGATGTTACCGATCATATGAAAGTTCAATTATTAGTAAGAGCATATCAAGTTCGTGGTCATCATATCGCAAAGTTGGATCCTTTAGGGATTTTGAATCCAGATTTAGATGGTAGCATTCCGAAGGAACTTGATCCGAAACATTATGGCTTCACAGAGAAAGATTTAGATAGAGAATTTTCGCTTGGTCCTGGTATATTACCTGCATTTGCTCAGACTGGTAAAAAAAAGACACTTAGAGAAATAGTGGGCATATGCAGACAAATATACAGTAAGTAAATTTTAAACAGTGGCTATTTGGTTAGATTGATCGGGTAACTTTTTATTTTTGTAAAGGTGGTACAATCGGTATTGAGTATATCCATATTCCTGATCGAGCTCAATGCGATTGGATTCGATCTAAAGTAGAAATTCCAAAGCCATATGATTACACAACAGAAGAAAAACATATGATTTTAGATCGATTAACATGGGGCGATTCATTTGAACGGTTTGTTGCTACAAAGTATCCAAATGAAAAGAGATTTGGTTTGGAGGGCTGTGAAAGTTTAATTCCAGGAATGAAAGCTTTGGTATGATAAAATTAAGAAAAAAAAAATTATTCCAGTGAAAATTCAGAGTTTTTTTTTTATTCGTACCCTTCCTTCTTAATTAGATTGATCAATCTGTCGAGCTTGGTATAGATTCAATAGTACTTGGAATGCCTCATCGTGGACGTCTTAATGTCTTAAGCAATGTAGTCCGTAAACCAAATGAATCAATCTTTTGTGAATTCAGTGGTTCAGTCGAACCATCAGATGAAGGATCTGGTGATGTGAAATATCATTTGGGTATGAATTATGACCGACCTACTCCTTCCGGCAAGCGTGTACATCTTTCTTTAGCTGCAAATCCATCCCATTTGGAAGCAGTCGATCCTGTTGTACTTGGCAAAACTCGTGCGCTTCAACACTATTCACATGATGAAAAGGACCGTCATCATTCAATGGCTTTATTACTACATGGTGATGCTGCTTTTGCAGCTCAAGGAGTTGTATATGAAACGATAGGTTTCCACGATCTACCAAATTATACAACAGGTGGTACTGTTCATTTAGTTGTCAACAACCAAATTGGTTTCACTACAGATCCTCGATTTGCTCGTTCAACTCCATACTGCTCAGACGTGGCTAAAGTAGTAAATGCTCCTATCTTTCATGTTAATGGTGATGACGTAGAAGCAGTAAATTTTGTGTGTCAACTTGCCGCTGAATGGAGACAGACATTTAAAAAGGATGTTGTTATTGATATCGTTTGCTACCGCAAATACGGTCATAATGAAGTTGATCAACCCAGTTTTACTCAACCTAGAATGTACCAACAAATAGCTAAACAAACACCAATTCTTGAAAAATATGTACAAAAGTTATTGAAAGATGGCACTTTTACTAAGGAGGACATTGAAAAGCATAAGAAACGGGTTTGGAATATATTAGAAGAAAACTATCAAAAAAGCAAAGATTATGTACCAACAAGTCGTGAGTGGTTATCTAGTTCTTGGAATGGTAAGAACAATAATTACTATCACTTTAATCGAGCTACTCTTATTCCAAAAATTCACAGCTAATTTTTTTTTATTAAGGTTTTAAATCACCAAAGGAGCTTGCCGAAGAAATTACACCAGCATATCCAACTGGTTCATCTTACGAGCTCCTTCAACATGTTGGTGAGGTTATTAGTTCATATCCAAAAGGTTTTAATGTACATTCGGGTTTAGTTAGAATTCTTAAGGCTCGTGCTAAAGCTATCAACGAAGGACAAGGAATTGACTGGCCCACTGCCGAGGGTCTTGCATTTGGTTCATTACTTCTTGAAGGTAAACATGTTCGTTTATCAGGTCAAGACGTTGAGCGTGGAACTTTTTCACAACGTCATGCAGTACTTCATGATCAAGTAAATGAAACACAATATGTACCATTAAACGATTTAAGACCTTTTCAAGCTAAATTTTCTGTTTGTAATTCTTCTCTTTCGGAATTTGGTTTTCTTGGTTTTGAATATGGATATTCTCTAGTTAACCCTAATTCTCTTTTTTTTTGGGAAGTACAATTTGGTGATTTTTTCAATAATTCTCAATGTATAATTGACCAATTCATAGCTTCTGGTGAAATAAAATGGTTACATCGTACTGGATTGGTTGTTTTATTACCACATGGTTATGATGGTCAAGGACCTGAACATTCTAGTGGACGTTTGGAACGTTTCCTCCAATTATGTTATGATCATCCATATGTTTATCCTCCTCCTGAAAAAATGGCTCGTCAACATCAGGATTGTAATTTGCAAATAATAAATGTTACAACTCCTGCAAATTATTTTCATGTTTTTAGTAGTCAAATTCATCGTGATTTTAGGAAACCAGTAAGTTTTAAAATTTTTTTTTTTTTTGTTATTTTTTTTTTATTTTATTTATTTATTTTTTTTTTATTTAGCTTATTGCTTTTACGTCAAAGAGTCTTCTTCGTCATCCAATGGCTCGTTCTTCTCTTGCTGATATGACTGGGGACACAACTTTTATTCGTTTTATACCAGATCCACATCCTGAAACATTAGCATCACCTGAAAAAATAACACGGCATATTTTATGTTCTGGACAAGTTTACTATGCCCTACTTAGAGCTCGTGAACAGAATAAAATGGATCATGTTGCCATTTCTAGATTAGAACAAATATGCCCTTTTCCATACGATTTGTTATCTCAACATATTGATAAATATCCAAATGCTGAACTTATATGGGCACAGGAAGAACCATTGAATGGAGGTGCATGGACCTATGTTGCACCAAGAATTCGAACTTTAATGAACCATTCAGAACGTCATGAAGGTATGTAATTGTAAGGACACGTAATTTAGTTAATTTTTTATTGATAATAATTAATTTATAATTAATTGTTATGTAGGTAGAGCCGCTAAACCTGCAACCCGTTTACCTTCAGCATCTCCGGCTACTGGTAACAAGAAACAACATATTCAAGAAGAACATGATTTATTATCTCAAGCATTAATTGGTCAAATAGTCAAACCCAAAGAAATTGTGTCTGGAGTACCAGTCTGGGAATAAAAAAACATTAATTAAATTTATGTACTATTATCTGATTTATTTATTGTATAGTAACGATTAAAATAAAGATTATATAAGATTTAAAAAAAGAATACTGTATATACATAAAAAAAAAATTTTTTACTAAAATAATCCCAAGTTTAAACTTAAAAAACCCATAAGAGAGTTGTCTAAAAAAGAATGAAATGAATTGTTAGTAAAATTTTATAACAAATATATAAAAAAAAATTTATTATTAAAATTTTAAGTTTAAACTTCAAAAAGACAAATAAAAAAATAAAAAGCCAATCATTCAACACCCACCATAATATTAAATCCTTCATGCTAATAGCTTTACAATATTAAACTTTACAATAAGATTTTGAAAAATGATATAATGATAATTTTAAATGTCTTTGGTTTGCATATAGTCAGAATATTGTTATACATAACCAGTAATATGATTTTTTTTACACTCAACCCTATTTGTTTGATGTTTTACATATTACTGTTTGATAATTACCATAAGTTTTCTTCAAAATAAATAATTAATTAGTAAGATATTTTAGAATTTACAGTATAAAGCTGTAATAATTAATATAATCAATCTTTATCCTTACTAACAGTTTAAGTTGGATTAATCATTACCTATATATTTAAAATAAAATTATAATTATGCAAATTACTATTATTTTTATTATACTAAAAATACATCAAATAGTTTAGACATAAAAACAGTAATATATAAGCTATTTGATTTAATAGCAAATTTAAAATTCTGTAACATATTATCATATCACACTTTTAATATTTATATAAAGCTCACATCATCAATTATGTTAGTCATTATTTTTTACTCACAAGTTGTAACTATATATACTTTCAACCTATATATGTTGTATGTCAGATATCAATTTGCATAAAATAACAGCTGATGCATATCATCAGATGCCAATTTTGAATAGTTTCTTATAAGTAAACATTTTTATTTATTAATTAAATTGTCTTTTATTTTATAAGTAAGTCTATGTATCATAATTATTTGCATATATCCTGAAAATTTCAAGTAAATACCATTAATACTAAATTATATATCATAGATAATGTTAATCAAAATTTTAGCTATAATTAAACATAAAATTTTTCAGTCTTAATGTACTTTTATTGCATAAGTAAATTAGTTCATTACATTTTTAAATATATAATGCTAAAATTTCAACATGTTTGGATTCATATTGGTGGAAATTTTCTTCTTTAAAATATGCAGTTATCATCAGTATAGTAAACATGTAATGTATAGTTGGTTATGTATGTAGAATATCACATATAAAAGGATCATGTGACTATACATGATACAGAATAGAATGGTCTAAGCTTTTCCTTATTTGGTAATAAATAATATAGATCTGTATAGAACACATGTAAAATTTTGCATACCCTACATACATAAGTATTTATATATTACATGTTATCATAACACTCCACATGCATAATATATATATACCACCAGTTTTTTCTAAAAAATACTTCTATTTTTCAGAACGGTTTTAAGCCTAATTATAATATATAATAGTAGAAACAATAAAATATACTCCAATTGACTAATGTTCTCAATTACCTACCCAACTTTTCTTTCAAAAGTAATAGTGATAATAGTCAACAGACTCTAAAAACTCATACTTTTTCTATAAAAAAAAAAGGTGTGAAAGATTTTGAATTAGATAAAACTTTTGGTTAAGATTCATACTTTACAATATTAAAGATATATCTATTTAAAATTTTAAAATAATTTTTTCTGGATAGTGAAAATTATTTTTTATTTTATTAAAAACTAAATTGTAGATAGTTTCTTTAAATATGGATTTTAGCAAATAAAAATTAAGATTTTTTTTTTATTTTTTTAATAAACTTTATTAACAATTTGTTTTTCTCTTTTTTTAAGAAGTAGTTTTTTTATGTTTTTATATATATGAGATAAAACCTTTATGAAAAGGGATTTTATAAAATGGTTAATAATGTTTTGATTTTTTCTTTTTAAACAGTTAATAATATTGGTCAAATCTATATTAAAGTTTTTTTAACATAATATTACTACTGCAATATTGCTTAATATAAATAGAGTTCTGAACAGGTTGACTAAATTCAGGTAATCTAACAGGTTGACCTGAATTTATCAAATCAGATTTTGCAATTGCAATTCAGCATCAGTTCAAGTTGTAACATCAATATAACTTGAATGACCTGTTAACCTGAAACTATAATTTTATATAATAAGTGAGTTATTATAATTCACTTTTTATATTGATTTTATATATAAGTTGTAATATTGGAATTCACTTTTTTATATAATAAAAGTAAGTTGCGATATCAGAATTCACTTTTTTATATTGATTTTATATATAAAAAGTGAATTGCAATATCAGAATTCACTTTTTTTATATTGATTTTATATAAAAAAATTAGTTACAGTATTGTGATTCACCTATTTACACTGGTCAAAATCTATGTTATCGGGTATATATCAGGCACCTATATATCGGTGATAAATCAGATATATATCACTTATTTACATATATTGGGTACACATCAGGTACTCGATATGTCACTGATATACACTGGTCAAAATTTATGCTATCAGGTATATATCGGGCATCTATATATCGGTAAGTAAAATGTTTTGGCATAGTATGACATACAGTACAGTAAGGCGATACAAATAAAAAAAAATGGTTCTCATCCTGATTTTTTAAAATTTTAAGGTCGGCGGTCGGACTTTTTTTTTTATTAGTTCAAAAATTTTATATGAAAAAATACGAATTTGATTGGATGTATATAGTAAAGGAAATTTTTTTTGACAATCATCAAGACATCAAATATCACGTTATTCACGTTGCAATTATTTCTCACACATTGATCTTTTTTAAAAAATCTTTTAAACGTAAAACAAATTAAATAAAAAATAATGCCTGCCGCAAAAGCAAGAATATTATGTGGTAATACCACTTTATTTCCTTGGAGAATAATTAGTATTGAAGAAAAATTAACTATTCAAGGCTTATTTGAGTATATAGTTGATCAATATATTCCACGGCTAAAAGAAGAGGTATTAGAAAAGATAGAAGCACGTTGCTCAAAAGTAAAAGAACAAGCTGGAGATGAGATTGAGTTAGGATGTATAATTAGTGATGTAGTTAGTAATTTTGGTAACCTTTTCACATTTAATATAAAAAAAATCTCAAATGAAAATAATTCCCAACTAGTTAACGCGTTTGATATTTTAAGAAATGCTGCAAAAGAGCTTCATCTACCTACATTTTCATTTTCCCAAAATCCTAAATTAAATGACAAATTAAAACTAGATATTCTTTCTTACATATCTTCCCATAAAGGTGGATGGACATTTGATGTTATACCTATAGGAAAAAAATTTATTAAAGAATTATCAGACGCGTTATGGTATGTTGATAAATGTGGATATAAAACATTTAATGATAGATACACAATTCCAGTAAAATTCTTTCAATTTGTTGGTCGGTTTGATCCAGTAAGGGAAAAAAAGAGTTACCTTTTATTTACCTATGATGAATTGAACTTTCATAGTCAAAATATGACGGCCTATCTTGAGATGTCCTGGATCAATCATCCATGCTTTGATTTTTTGAAACCACCTTTAGTCAAATTTGCAAGTGATCTTCAAAAATATGCAGAATATTTGTTAAAAAAAACTGTACAAACAAAAAAAAATCATGATTCAATGATACCTATAGTAAATGAAGGTGATGCGGGTAAATTGAAAATCATCTTACCTGTTATGTTTAGAAATCCGGCTATCATAACCAAATATAAAGAATTAATCAAGGCTGTTGAATTTGCAGATTATTGGGAAACAATAAATGTAGATCCATATTGTCCTGATAATAGAACGTAAGTAAAATAGCTGATATCAGGATTTTTTATATGAAAAAAATTAAAATATGACTAATTTTTTAGAGCAAAAAGTACATATTTACAGAAATTAGAAGAGGCATTTACGTTTAAAATGGGAATGTATACTTACCATCATGGAAATATAATGAACACCACTTTTATTTGGAAAATAGATCCAAGCGTTGATGAATCTATAGCTTTTGAAAAAAATTATAAAATCCGAAGTGAATTGAAAAATTCTATGCCAGTATATGCAACACGAGCAATGAGAAGAGAATTTGTAGATACTTGTGATATGTTTCTTGGTAATGTTGAAAAGTCAAGAGTTCGTAGAATATATAAAGAGTTTGTAGGAGACTCAACTGCAGATGAAATGGAGATAGACATCAGAGTAAAACTTGCCTTTGATCTAAGAGATCCAGACATTATTACTGATCTTCGACACTTTAATGAAGGAAGGATATCTATTTATGATACCTTTTGGGAATATAGCAAAAAATTCTTAGAAGGTACTGCCCAAGATTCAGTTGTTGCAGTTGATGAAAGACGCCATGATCCTATTGTGCATTTAGCTCGTGCTATATCTGTAGAAGATTTAAAAAATCAGATAGCAAAATTATGTCCAAAAGATACTCCAATCCCATCAGTACAATGGCTAAGACTTCAGTTCTGGCCAAAAAACCCATGGAATCTATCAAGTTTGCAATTTACCGGAATCTTACCATTAAAATTTATGATACAAATTCGGCAATTACATATGGATCATATTGATAGTCATTATGCATCAGCAATTTTTCGTTATCTTAAGGAATTGGCCATAAAATTTAAGGACAATACATGGTTGGTCTTTTTGGATGATAAACATCGCTGCAAAATTGGAGAACCAGGACATCCAGTAGCTGCAATAGAACGTGGAAAACAAGTAGTTGTTACTACACATGAAACTTTTGCTGTTTCAGATCATGATTTCACAAAATGTAGCCTAATTCCTAGTGTAACGATGATCTGTAATATACCGGACAATATAGAAGGATCATTTTACCGAGGACATGTAAATATTGGCTTAAAAGATGCAACATTTCAAACATCAAGTTCATTGCGGCATATGACAGAATTGTATGATATATTATTACATACCGAAAAACATCATCCCTTTTTAATGCTATATACAGATGGTGGTCCCGATCACAAAATTACTTTTCTTCGTGTTCAACTTTCATTAATAGCAATGTTTATTGCTTTAGATTTGGATTATTTAGTTGCCGTAAGAACACCACCTGGACACTCATGGAAGAATCCCGTAGAACGAATAATGTCAATATTAAATCTTGGTATGCAATGTGTTGGATTGATGCGTCAAAAAATGAGTGAGGAAATGGAGAAATTAATTAATGGGTGTAATAGTTTAGAAGACATTCGGGAAAAAGCAAAAATTAATAATAAATTAGAAGAAGAATTATTACAAAGTATGGAACCTACTCGAGACTTGTTAAGTAGTATATTTACTCGCCAAAATCTTAAAGATGAACCCTTTAAAATGTTCAAACCTGCAACTAAAACTGAGATGGAAACATTCTGGGAATCCGTACATTTGGTAGATGATTCAATTACAATGGATGATACATCACAAAAAAAAGTTGCCGATAAGGTTAGTGCATTGATTAATGACAGTATCTCATATTCATATACTAATAATTAACGCCAGTGTACCTTCTTTTAGCCAAAGTTGCAGGAATTTATGGAACATTGCTGTCGAAAACGTCTGTATTTTTTTGAAATAAAAAAGTGCGGAAGTAGTGAATGTGACATATGTAGGCCAATTAGAAGTGATATAAATGTTTTTAAGGAACTAAAAGGTCTACCTGATCCCATTCCTGGACCCGATGATCACTATATTTCATTTTTAGAGGCGTATGAAAAGGAAACAACAGAGGAATATTGTCCTTCTTTACGAAATAGGAAACCTAGAAATAAATCAAAAGATGTAGAAAAAAAAGGAGGAAATGGCATGGACTTTAGTCCAACTGCTCAATATGGAAAAAATGTAAGAACAATTGTAAAATGTGTAGAGTGTAACAAACCTCGTGTATTATATGCTCGTCATAAAATATCAGAGGAAGAATTTCGCCTACTTCAATCTTTCCTGGAATCAATAGAATATACCTGTGGTGTTACATTTAAAGGCCTTTCTGAGTTGAGTTCTTCTAAAAGTAGGAAAGAAAGTGATATAGACGTTAATGATGATGATGAAAAAGAAAATAATAATGGAGATATAGATGTTAATGAAGATAGTGAAAAAGAAAATAATAATGGAGATGATCCTATAGCTGAATTATTCAAAATAGTACAAATCAACAAAAAACATACTTGTACTTCAGCTATTGAGAAACCATACTTTGTAGCCGGAATTTTTCCTCAAATTTGTAACATATGTGGTATATCAGAGGATTTAATACAGGTAGAAAATGAGTTACCATATTGCAAAGAATGTCATGTCTCGGCTGGAGAAAAAAGAAAAATAGGAAAAAGGAAGTACTTTGACGGTGGTAATAAAAATAGTAGGAAAAAGCGTAAAATAGGAAATTAAAGTATAGTTGTCTATCAGTGTATTTAATAATATGCAAGGCGAGTATTTTAGATATTGAGAAGGTATTCTTTGAGTTATCAAGTGAAAAGGAGAGAACGCGTTTTCCGTTTTGCATCATGAATTTGGTTAATTACATGCGTGTATGCGTGTATCTTACTGGTACCTTTATGTAAATGCTATAATGTATTGAGCAATACAAAACGTGCTGGTATAGGATTTACAGTCACGTGATTAAAATTAACATATAAAATAAAATTTATGATTTGAGCCGAAATTAAGATCGGCGATTACGAGAACCATTTTTTTT